CTGACAGACAGCAGCAAAGCGGATGAGCCCACACGCAGCGCCAAATCCAAGCAACACACTGAGAGCAAACCCGATGCCGAGTCCAGCCACATGACGCGTCAAACGCCGCCCCGCGGCTCGGGTATAAACAGCACACCTGCACCGGCACCTGCGCCTGTGCCGGCACGAGCCCCGCTGCTGCGCAAGTTGCCGCATCGGGATCGCTCCGAGAGTCCCATGGTGGATGATGACACGACAACGGCCAGCGATCAGTCGATAACAGCCAGGTCCAGTACGCGCAGGCGCTGCTCCTCCACGCCGCTTATAGACAGCATACCCAATTCTCCGGCGTCCAGCGAGCACACCGATGATCGTCGCGAGACGCGCGGTGCCTCCAAGAAGCACTTCCTGGCCATTTACAGCACATTGTTGGAGAGCAAATATGCGTCGCCCTTTCGACGCGCCTTTCACGACGAGCATCCGCACAGGCAGACAGAGCTGTGCCTGCGACCCATGGACTTGCCCACAATTAAGCGCAACATCGACTCCGGCCATCTGCGCAGCATCAGCGAGCTGCAGCGCGATGTGGTGCTCATGTGCCAGAATCTGCTGCTAATCTACAAGCCACAGACCACGCAGCACAAGACGGCGCTGCTGTTCATGCAGGAGAGCCGCTCCCTCAAGGAGTTTGCGACCTGCAGCCAAACGGCATCCGATAACAGCTCCGCCAGCAGCACCAGCGGCAAGGCGGAGAAGGAGAAGGACAAGGAGCGCACGCCTGCTGGCAACAAGGCGCGCAGCGGTTCGCGCAAGAGCCAAAGGCATCATTAGATTAAGATTAACATAAATCAAGATTAACATTAACCTAAAACCAAGCAAATCAGCAACTAACTGGTTTCAGTTCCAGCTCCAGCTCCATTAATCCAACATCTATAGATAAATAATTAAAAATTATATATACTTCCAAATCTGTACAATGTACATTGCTCCTATGGCAGCGAAGAACTGCAATAATCCAATTTGCAGGATATAATTATCTAATTTTCGTACATTTAATGACAACCTCTATTTTCCACATTACAAAAACAATTATCCTTTTATACAATAAATCCAAACTTCTCTGAATAACTCGTCCACAAGCCACTTCCAGTTTTCTGCTTATAATAAAAATATAAACATACATTAACAAATTTAATAGATTGATTATTATAGATATTTTCTTTCAATGCAATGCAAAAGTATTTTATTTTAAATGATTAATTAATTAATGAATAATATTTCGTTATGATATACATTTTAAACTTTTTTTAAACAGTTTAAAAATTTATTTAAGTCAAATACTTCGGAAATTCTTCTCTATATATAGGAACGTAATGACAATGAATTCCATTTTGAAAACTAGAAAAGTAATCGATGTGAATCATATTAACTAATGAAGCATTTACAGTGTTAACTACAATTGCAGACCAGTGTTGCGTAAGGTCACTTAAAAAAATAGCTGAATCTAATTTTAAAAAAGCTAATAGAAACAGTTAAATTAGCTTTTCGAAGACAAATTTACTATAAATTGGCTATAAACAGCTAAAAGTTGCCATTCATATGCCTAAACCAGCTAAGTCTGAAAATAGCTAAATTTAGCTAGTAAATAGCTGTTGAAACTGTTCTTATCCACCTGGCATATGGCTTTAACCACTGTTTTTAGGGATTTAAATAGTAATGCATTCGGACAGATGGATGTTAAGATAGATTATAAGTATTATATTATTTTTTCTAGTTAGAAGTAATAAGTTTAAATGTGGATTATCTAAAGAAAGCTTCATGCTTTATTTATATAGGTTTTTGTGTGAATAATCCTCAACATAAAGCAATCCTTTAGCAAGGATATACACCAATGCTCCAGAGATATACCCAAAAATTGTTTAATCAAGACTTCGATTGCTTTGCTGCCTTTGGCATATTTAAGCAGAGTCCTGTCTCTTAATCGAATATACTTGGGATATGGAGTGTAGGTTAGTCGAAGAATATCAGATTTTGGAGTCGTCTGGTGCGGGATGAATGGCAAATGGCGCGTCGGTTCGGGCAATAGAACTTGCGCAGGCAACGGGAGAGCCGCAGATCACATTGACACAGCCGGGCCGCACACGAATCCGGGCCACCCCACTCACCGTGATCGATGGCGCAGAGGGGCTTGCCGCGATAGCATTTCCACACGTAGGGCACAAAGTATTCGAGATAGGAGATGCAGTTGCTCTGGCCATAGCACTTGTCGTGCAGCCGGCAACAGCGATCGATGCCATCGTTGGGCACCCCGTGACCCCCAAAGCCGCAATAGCAGCCGTAGCCCTTGTAGATCAACGGATCACAGTTGGTGGAGCACTTGATCATCGAGTAGAGCTTGGCCACATCCCGCTTGCCGCGCTGCGTCTCATTGCTCCAGGCCCATTTCATGGAGTAGCCGAAGGGATCGTTGGCACGCGCTATATACACATTCTGTGCATTCAGCAGATCCTCCCGTTGCGCCTCCGCCGGATTGGCTGCTATGACGCGTATGTCTGTGACACGTCCATCCAGTTGCTGCGTCTTTAAGTCCAGCAGAATCTCCGAGCGTGGATAATCCGGCAGCGGGTAGCTATGCAGGTGCTCCTGTTGTTGTTGTTGTACGTCCCTGTGAAGCGAGATTTTGGCTAGTGCTCCAACCAGCTCAGCTAGGTAACTCACCTGTGCGTCTGCTCCAGCCAGCCCGGTGGACGCTCCAGCTCGCCCGTCCAGCCCGGCAGACCCAGCTGCTGCCATGTCCCCGAACTGGACTTGACCGCATGCGTATTGCCCTCCAGTGTGTCCACAATTATCTGCGGCTTCTTTGTGATATTCGGAAAGATTGGTTCCGCAAAATCGGATCGTTGCATTGTCAACAGCTGCTCGTTGGGCATTTTGAATGTGAAGGTTGGATTCGCATTGGTCATGCTGGCGCCGTACATTTCCGGTATCAGGTGCTCCAGCAGGGCGCTGTCATTGGTCACAGCCCTGAAGGCCTTCCATATGTCATCCACCACCATGTCCGCAGTCTTGCCGCCCAGACACTGCAGCGCCAGCAGCAGCGGCAAGGCAGACAGAAAAGCTAACCACATCTTTCGGAGTCGGAGGACTGCACCCAAAATTGTTGTCCAATTAAACGATCCAAGCGATCCGCTCGAGTCGAGCGGCAATCAGAAATTGAAACAAGTCTGCGAAATGCGGTAGCTAGCCGCTGGCCGCCAAGTGTCCAACAAAAGAAACAGCAGCAAATCAAAAAACACCGACTTAAAGATGCCCTGCAAGCAGCGCCGAGCTGTCGATACATTCAAAAAAAGCCAAATCAGCTTAAAATTGCAGCTTTTTCCGGCTGACGAGCTTTGACTATAGCCAACTATAGCTAGAAAATGGCTGCACTTTCTACCTGTTACATACGTTCTCCCAATAATAGATACCCTTTTCTTGGACATTTTCAATGGGTACAGGGTATTATAAAAATGTAGCATAAAATGTTTAAAATTCTTGTTAAGAGCACATTCAAAAATAGCCAAAACTGTCTAAAATTTGCAGCTATTTCCGGCTGACGGTTTCGGACTATAGCCAACTTTAGCTGCCAACTTTGGCTCTTTTCACCTGTTACAGACGTTGTCCCAAAAGCAATGATACCTTTTTTTCAATGGCTACAGGGTATTATAAAATTGAAGCATAAACTGTTCAACAATCGTGTTAATAGCACAAACAAAAATAGCCAAAACTGTTTTAAATTGCAGCTATTTCCGGCTGACTAAAGCCAATTATAGCTAGAAAATCCTTGCCTTGGCTCTCCTTCCACCTGTTACTCTCCTAGTCCCAAAGCAAAGATACCTTCTTTTCTTTGCCATTTTCAATGCGTGCAGGGTATTATAAAAGTGAAGCACAAAATGTTCAACAATCGTGTTAATAGCAATAATAACAATGGCCAGCAGCGGCTGCGGCTGCGGCAGCGTCGCCGACGGATTTGGTGTGCGAGAAGTAAACGCATAAAGCCAAATAAACAAACCGAGTGTGGCACAAATACGACGCCGTTAGAGGTGGGTCAGTAACCGTAACCCACATTGCGTCAAATATTTTTTTTTGGGCGGGCAAGTTAAGGCGAAGGTTAGACAAGCGCTTGGAGCAGTCCAATCTAAGCCATGATCAGTTCATGGCCAGCATTTTAGGGCTAACAATTACCAAAACAACTAAACATTAACCAGTTGGGTTGCGGGGGTTGGGTGGGTGGTCTGGAAACCGGTGCCAGTTAGCTAAACAAAATTGGCATTAATGTGTGCAGCGAGTTTATGCTCGGGCCGTAAATACATACTCACACATAAATACTTTTATATACATACGTATTTATGCTGTTTACCTGTCTGCTGTTGCACAGGTAATTTATTGCGGTTGCCTGCAACGCCTTCGTTACGTTGGTTGCATGTTACGTGTGCGAGGAACAGCAACGCACTCAAAATGAAAACAAATCGCATCAAGTCAAGCTCAACTCAAGGCAAAACTCTAAAAATCACTAATACACTTGTTTTATTAAGTCATAGATTACATTCATTAAACGCACGAAACCTAATCAACGCCTAAAGTAATTATTGCATTTAATTAACCTACAAAGGTTTTGTATTTTGAGTTGCGCGCGAAATTGTGCTTTTGAATTTACCTATCGAAACGAGAATCGAGTACGTTGTTATCGGTCTGATCGGCATGTGTATCGCGCATGAGCTGCTTAGTGCTGAAAAGTGCCACAAGCTGGCGCTGCAGCACCACAGATTAATCGGCTTATCTATCGATAGCTATCGCCTTATTTAAATTGGTTTAAGCAGTTGGTGAAAAACTGTAATCTGTTCGCATTTATATATTTTTTTTTAAATTCTTTATCTAGTGCATCTGCTAGTGTGCCCTCCCCTGGGCATAAGAACACACACATATCAATGTCCAAGCTACTTCCTCCTCCATTTAAGCCAAGAAATAAAAGACAGACAAAATGCTTTAATAAATTGCGCAGATATTTTATTTTGATTTAATAAATGTGATTACTTTTCTTGCCCGTCCGGCCGAATGGTCAGTAAACAACATAGTACAAGTGGCCGCTGCAGCATCATCCTCACGGGCAAACGGAAATGCCGCGCATTGGAACAAGCATTTTTCCAGCTGCCGCTGTCGCTGCCACTGCCACCGCTGCTGCTGCTGCTGCCTGAAACAGTAGATTCAGAGACTTCGTTGATCAGAGTTCAAGTTGCGTTGTTCTGCTTTGCTTTAATCGCTGCATTGTCATCTTCTTGCTTGCGGCGATCGACCGAGCGAGCGACCGCTCACTTCTCTCCCATTTGACGCTGCAATTGCAAGCATAGTGCTTGTTGTTCTTCTTCTTCTTCTGGTTGTTGTTGTTGTTGTTTGTGGGAACGAGCACACAGCTATTTTCAAATTGGAAAGGTTTTACACTTCGCCAACGCAGCCAACTCGGCAAACTCTTTTTGTTCGCTTTGTTTGCGGCTTCGCTGCCGCTGCTGCTGCTGCTGCTGTTGTTACAGCCAACTTCTTTCTCGTTAGTTTGTTATTTTAACTATTATATCAATTAGTTTTAACGTTTGACGGCTCCGCCAGCTTCAACTCATTGCGGCCGCTGACGCTGGATTGCGGATGGAAGGAGGAAATGGAAATGGGAAAGCCGCGCGACGGCAGCGCAGCAGCTACGAAGAAGTTCGAGGTTGAATTTTGCGCCGTTGCAATTCACTGCGCTTGGCTTTCACGCTGGGGTTGAAACTCTCAGTCTGTTTGCGTGTGCGTGTGTGTGTGTGTGTGTGTGCCTACAAATAGCAGCACTCTCATTTTGAAAATATGTAAATAACACACAACAAACGTTACTTTTTTATTGGCCTTCCAGTGCGTTGGCATTTCAATAGCATGAAGAAGGAAGTAAGCGAGAGGGTCGCAGCGTACACAGGGTTGAAAGGTGTTCCGGGGCTCGTCGTTTGTGCGCGCGGCAACTGAAATTTTACTTTGAACATTTTAAATGCGGCAGGTGTTACAGTTAGTTGCACTGTTAGGTTCGTCGCTTGGCAGCACTGGCAAAAAAAAAAAAAACAGAAAAAAGTCAGAACAGTTAACTTCGGATTGCCAAAGTTTGATTGCCCTCGCAAACAGAATTGCGGACTTGCGAAAGATTCCTATAACTTTTTTTAATGCGGGTCGATTGCTATAGTACTCTATATTGTTCAGATTTCACCAAAAATGTATGTAGTATATGAAAGCTGGTAGTTGCTGGGTAAGAAGTTAAAAGTTAGAAGTAAAAATGTAAACAAAATTTTGCATAAATGTTGGGAGCATGGTGAAACTTATATATGCCGATCGTTCCTAAGGCAGCTATATGATATAGTGGTCCGATTTTGATAATGTTAATAATACTAATAAATGCCCAGTTAGAAACTGAGAACAGACAGACGGATAATGGCTATATCAAGTCAGCTGTTAATGCTGATCTAGAATATATATACTTTATGGGCTCGGTGAAATCTCCTTCTATGCGTTACACATAGCGAGACAAACTTAAAGTACCCTCTGCAAGGCTATAAGAAACCGTTATACTTTGCTGCTTGTTTGCTGAGCGCGCATGCGATTGCGACAGACAGCGCGCCCGCAGGCGCAACAGCGACAACCCCCTCGATAAGTTCACACGCCGACAACAACAACAACAACAACAGAAGCAGCAGCAGCCGTCAGACTAGGCTCGGAAATTTATTTGCAGCGTTAGACGTTTGTCAACGGGCGGCGGCAGCGACAATTCGATATTCAATCGCGTGTCGCTTGGCCATAAAAAGCAGATAAAATGCGCACAAATCAGGCTACTCCAGCAGCAGCAGCAGCAGGGGACGGGACGGCGGCATGCGGGCTGCATGGGCTGCCCGAAAGTGGGCGTGTCAGCCAGCATGCGTTTGACTGTTGCTGCTGCTGCGGTCAAATTGCTGCAACTGGCAGTGCCAAAAGGTCAATAACTTCCTTCTATATATTCTTGTTCTTTTTTTGTAGCTGCGGGTGAGTGTGTGCGCGCGCTTCTGCTTGTCATTTTATGTGGGTCACGGGTCAATCATGTAATATAATCATCCGTGTACGTACGTCTGTGTATATATGTACGTACAGTTTTGTGCTGTTTAACTGATTAGTGCTTAAGGCAGAGCCCAAACGGAAGCTGATTTGATTACCCATTTCTTTTATATTCAACAATTAATAATAGTTCGAAAGTTAAAAGGGCTTTTAACTCCTATTAAAAGATATAAGAAAAAACAATCCGATCGGAAATCAGTGGAAAATTGTAATTTCCAAAATTGTTCAAATCGATTTAAAAGGAAAGTGCCATAGAAGAAGGCTTTAAACTTACCCTTAAGTATAAACAACTTGAACCAGATTTTTAATAACTCATGATCGGAAATAGTTGGAAAATTGTAATTGCCAAATATTTTACTTCATTCGCTTTTAAATGTATTTGGAACAGGGTTGAAAATAGATTTCACGAACAAGAGTGAAATGGTTCGAAACTTACTTTTAAATATAAACAACTCGAAGTATATTTGGAAAAATCTACTGTTGGATGGAAAATTTATAAATGCAAATTTTGTACGTTTTTAATTGATTTTGAAGACGTGTTAAAATTGAATTGACAGATGTGAAATTTTATTTTTTGTTGTGTTTGGCATCAAATCCAGGTTTTGCAAATCCACGTCCATGGTCGAAAGCTAGATGGAAAAATGTGAATTCTATTTGTCAGATGTTAGACAAACGTTTTTAAAGTGGTTAAACACATTACATTTTAAACATTACTCATTGCTGATTTAAGCGAATTCACGTTCACGATCCAAATACGGGTGGAAAAAGTCAGACAACTCTTCTATTTATCATCCGCAAAGTAATCCCAGCGAGTCATATAACTAAATGGATTTTCTTGAACAATTTGTGGACTGTACATGGACTTTTCACAAGCTTTTTCTTATGGCCAAATTATGTATTTAATGTCCGTTCACATTACAAAGGAGTTAATGCGTTTTGGCTAATTGACGTGTCCCGATGGCAGCTACTCCTGGCTGTCAGCCCCGCCTGCTTGCTCTCCTCTTTATTATGGCCTCTTGGCCATGTTTTTTTTTGTTGATGTGTATGTTTGTGTGTGTGTGTTGACCCAACTTAATAGACGAGCATGAAATCTAGTCACGAACTTAATCATGAACAACCGTGCACTAGATCCATGTTCGCCGACAAAATAGAGTCAGAGAAGAGCAAAAAATCAGGCAGCAGCAGCTGCAACCTCTCCCTCCTTTCTCTCTTGAAGCCGCAGCAGCATTTGATCCATCCCATGCCATCCTGGAAGCAATGATTATTGCTAGTGCACGACTTTCTGTGGCATTTGACTGGTGTGTGCCTCCGCCTCCTCCTTCTCCGGCCCATTCACCTTCTCCTGGGCCTCTGGCTCCTTCTGTGGTGATTGGTGTATTTCTTGGTTTTATGGGCTTGGTTCGGTTCGGTTTTTCGGTCACTTTTTTTTGGATATCATTTCATGTCATTTTGCTCGTGCCTGGCAACAATTTCAATTGGGGCCCGTTTTGATCGGTTTTCATAGCTCAATTGGCTCAATCAGGCCCCCCGCACACCCCCGCTCCCGCTCCCTTCTCATCATTCGTGCGCGCTCGCTTTTTGATCCCGCGCGTATTGTATACACATTTGCATTTGTATCTGTGTGTATGTGTGTGTGTGGTTGTGCGCGATATGAATGAATCAAGCTTCAAGCTTCGAATTAAGGTTTATTATTTTTATACCCTGTTCGCAAAGTGAAAAAGAGTATATTGGGTGGGCGGATTTATCGAATTCTTCAGGTTCATTATTGGATGCCCTCCACTTAAGTCTCCGCAAACACAGTTTGAAAGCCACTGCCTTGGGCTTACAGTTTAACAAGCAAAAACTCCATAATTATAGAATCTCTTTCGATTTGTTTTCAGCTTTGATTAGAGCATTGCGCAGTCGTTTACACCCAACTCCAATATTTCTACTTGTCGGCTTGATTTTTCTGCTGATTTGTACAATAATTTTTGCTACCGCCCTTTGCCTTCACCCGCCCTCAAAGCCATCGTCCGATTGTTTAAGAATCGAGGCGTCGCTGCAGCTTGAATTTCTGCTCGATCTGCACAAAAGTTTTCAGTTTTCAGGCCACACAATTCTACGGAAATTGCTGTTTACTCAGACACTAGTTGTTTATTTGTCAACCCAATATATATAGAATATAAGATCGAAAGTTGGAGGGGATACGGAGGGAGAGCGAGCTCTAGGTTGAAAACTATGCGACACATTAAGGGAAAGAAACTTCCAAGAATTTTTAGCAATTTGTTCCGGTAGCAAAACTATTATCGTTACCAGAGCAAGAGGGCGAATACAGAAAGAGGAGTGCGCTGTCTGTCGGTAATCTGAGCCCTGACTGAGACTGAGTGCCACATAGCAATACCAAAGTGTTGTTGAACTCGCAGCCACTTGAAATACTTCATTTGTACTAGAAAGTACGAAAAATAAGTACAATTTTTATTCAAATTAAACATGCTCAATTTTCTACAAAAGATGTCACTTTTCTACATAATTGTTTTTCTTTAATTACGATTTTTTTATTAATTTTTAATATATTTCTTTTATTTTAATTTTTTTTTTATCAAACGTGTATTTGACTAACATATTTTTGAGATACGTTCCAAATGTACAATTATTAAAATATAAAAAGATCGTATTTTATTTATTAACGAAAATTGTACCTTTTTTTTCAGTCTACTCAATTAATGTTACAAAATATTTGTATTTTTAATAGCCCCCTTTTGAGTATTTACAAACAGCGGCCACTCGAATTTCTTGGCCCCACTTGAAATTCTCCGCTCTTTCCAACTAGTAATTAAATTTTTCAAGCATTTGTTGTTCGGCTTGAGAAAAATAAAATGCTTTTGTTGCATAGTTTAAGCTGATTCCACACAAAATCATACACATTAGCATTAATTTAGTGCGTGTAATTAAGACTCACAAAAAAACAACTCTTGGGAAAGACATCCACATTATTTGCTTCCTTTCACACACTCTCTCCCTCTCCCTCTCTCTATCTCTCTTTAACACATAGTGTGACAGCTGCAAGAGCACAATTCATTTCGTTCTGTTTGGTTGACTTTCTTTGTGCGTGTGCGTGAGCGTAGAGTTGACTAATTACCTTTTTGAAAACCCAAGTAAAAAAAAAACGTCATAGTCGGGTGAAAATGCTGCGCCATACTCTGTAAAAGCAGCTGAAAATAACTCGTTGATTTCTTCTAGTTTTGTTGAGGTTTTTAGTAGTCAACTTGTCTATAACCCAAGCTTGAGGATTCCTCATTCAATTGAACCAAGCCAATATACCCTTCATTATTTAGTGAACAGAGTATGAAAAGATACAGGTGGAGCGTTTTGAAGTGGAAAAACGTTGCCGTTGAGTTTTGTAAATGCAACAGTGTTGCTAAACGCACAACTAAACTGATAAAAATGCGCTGTCAATTATATTTTACAACCTACTTTAGTGTTATTAAATTTATCGAGTTATTCTCTCAGCTTGATTCATACATTTTGCCTGTGTTTTATTGCAGATTGAACTACCGTTCTTAATGAGTGTGGATCTAGTCACAAATACTTGAAAAAACGAATGTGAAACACTGGACCCTCACTCACTAAAAACAGTAGTACGCATTTTCGATCCATTCGTTCACATTGTCTTACCATTTTTGGGGCGTCCACTGCACAGTGCTCTGGCATTTTGTTCGCCTTGTTTTATTTATTTATTTCGTTTTTTTTTTTTTTTTTTGTTAATTTCAATTATTAAGCGATAGTGCAAAATAAACTGGAACAACAATAACAAACCACGCCGCTGCCACTACTTTTTGTGTTGATAAGAGCGACAAGCAAAGCAGCGCTGCTCAGTTTTCTTCTAGGCGTTACGTCGCTTATCAGCAGAAAATGAAGTAGACACAGCAAACACACACACTTAAGCATGTATATAGTGTGTACGTGAATATATGTTTTTTCCCGCCTAAACAAAAAGATCGTTGGCTTTTAAAATTAAAAATTGAACTACTTTGGTGCAGTGTGGCAACGCCACGAAAGAACCGCTTATTTGCAAGCGCAATATAGAGAGCGCACATTTATATACATGCTATGTATGTGTACATACCGATACATACACACACACATGCAAAAAGCAAAGCTTACACACGCGCACAGCAACAGCAAACGCTGCTACGTCTGTATGTATGTATTGGTGAGTAACGATGGCTGCGCTGATGGCTCAAGTTGATAGCAGCAGTTGTTGTTTTTGTTGTTGTTGTTGTGGCTGCTGCTACTGCCGCTGCCGTCGCTGCTTTTATTTCTCGAGTATGCCTTGTCTTCGTCGCCGCTGTTGCTGTTCTTGTTGTTTTGTGGTCTCTTATGGCTGCCTCGATTTGAAGAAGTATGGCGAATTACATACACGCACACACACATACACACCAGCACGCACGAGGGCAAAAACTCAACTGACTATTCAGGCATAATATTTGCCAGCAGCACAATTCGCCGTCGTTGTTGCTCCCTTGTTGTCAATTTCATTTCGCAGATTCAGTTTTATTAAATTGTTATTGAAATTAAATCATTTCTAATTAGACGGCCAGCCGACTGATCCAACTGTAAACGCTTCGTGCATCCGCTTATTATTTCGGTAAAACTGATGATGCCCGTGTGTGTGAATGTGTGTGTCTTATGTCTCAGTGTGCGTGTCACTCGCCGTGTAATCAACGGCAATTTGAAAAAAACTGCAAAAACAGGCAGCGCTACACAATACGTATGTATACATACGTACATATGTACATTTTGTATGTACTCTCAAGCACGACTTTTGCATTTGTTGTATTTTACATATTAATTCAGTTTAATTTAATATCGTACATGAAATGTTTGACGCTCAGATTGTTATATTTTGCATTGAATTGACGGACGAAGATGGCGGCCCGCTCCGAATGGCAATTAATGCAACAGGCTTCCACATTTTTGCGGTTAGTTTGAAATTTCGGCAGTGTACAGTTAATTATATTGCTATACATTTGTATGTATCGGATCACTCATTGAACACGCACACATACTCACGCGCGGCAACCGACAGATAAACACGCGTTAAAGTTAAAGTCGGTAAAAGTATTGTGTTATTACTGTATTTGTTAAAAATTTCTTGCAACTGGTGTGTACAATTTTCTTATGACAAAATTGCAATCGTACGGCGACTGCGCAGCTTAGACATAAAAATGCATCAGAATCAACAACCACTCGCAAACGATGCTCTTATAAGACTAACTCGAAGTTAAGCCATAGACACACTCTATAGCGCAGAGCAGTGGTTGGCATTCTGCTGCCGCTGAGCAGCAGAGTCAAAACGTATACATGTACGCTTAACTGTGAGCGAATTAAGAGCGCGGGCAGAGCAAGAGAGTCGTTTTTCAAATGGACGATCGTTACTCACCAACACAGAAACACGATTGACGTGCTGCCAACGCGTGCGGCATAAAATGCTCTCTGGTCTTATAAAAATATATTGATTTTTAAGGCATTGTGAATGTTAGCTGCCTTATAATGCATAACTAAATACAGCTTAAGTGCAATAATTACAACTCAATCGAGTTTTAAAATATTTTAATAGTTAAATTTCATGGAGTTGGCAGCACACACTCACACATAATCAACAAGCAGCAGCCCACACACATACTCAAATACGTATATACATAGTAGAATTTGAGTGAGTTGCGCTTGCGCTAGTGTGTGTGTGTGTGTGTGTGTATGCGTGTATGTAAGCAATCGTGTGCAAATGATACAAAGAAGAATTATATCAAAAGCGAAAGAAAATAATGATGACGCAGTGAAAAAATTATATTAAAATAATTACAACAGCGCGTTCAACTTGGACTTGGTAAAGACGTTGACGTCGACTTCGACAACGACGCGTCGCTGCCGTTTGCTTGTCGACGCGCGCACCTTTTAACTGCTGCTGATGTCGTTGTTGTTGCTGTCGTTGTTGTTGTTCTTGTTGTTGTTGCTGTTTCCTTCCAGCTATCGTTAGCGGGGTGGGTTTCTTAAAGAATTGTAGTGAAATGCTTGGGAAAGGTTTTTACAGTACGTTCAAACAGACGTAGCCACATGCCTATGTTTGTATACGGATAAATACATATTTATGTGTATGTGCTGTACATTGAATGTACATATGTATGTACGTGTTTCTGTGCATGTATGTGTGAGCATTTATCTTTACGCGATTTTATTTCTTTCTTTTTATTTTTTGTCAATTCTTTTTTGCCAAAAGGTAGGGCGAGTCTGAGCAAGGGTTCGTGACGTCAACGCACTCGCGCAGCTGTTGCCCGACCATCAGTCACTCAGTCAGTCAGTCAGTCATTCAGTCAGTGGTCGTCTTCTTTTTGCGTCTCCTCCAGAGTTCCGCATCCATTATACAAAACAGCCAGCGGGCGCGTCCATCATTTTCATCAAGGTGACACAGTTTGGCAACGTCTTCGCCACGGCGTGGTCAATGAAACTTAGTAGATATGGGCGAAATGTCTCTTGAAATATTTAATTCATTTCCCGCTTCCTGTAATTGATATGCGCCCACGTTTACACCTCGCACCTCAATTGGCTATTCGCGTGGGCGTTGTCCACACATCGATATGCCAAAAGATTTCTCTAGAGCTACAACAAAGTGCTGAAGGGGTAAGGAATAATGTATTTATCCAATTGGAAATTGGAAATGAATGAACTTTCCAGATAGGAATCAATTGTGAGTTGCTGCAGTTGGCTTCATCTGTATATTTTCTTAGAAAGTATTCAAATTACTTTTGGAATAATGATCAAGAGGCTCTTGAGAAACACATTTCTCTAATTTAAAAACTGAGATCGATAGGATTTCCATTTAACGAACATTTCCAACACGAATGCAAATGGAAAAGGAAGCGGTATTCCAGTGTGGAAAAAGGCAAAAGATAAGCGTGTTCATTCCCATTTCAGAAAAATTTTCAACACTAATGCAAATGGTAATAGATGCATGATTCCAGTGTGGAACAAGGCAAAAATTAATGTGTTGATGTGCATTTTAGAAACATTTCCGACACTAATGCAAATGGAAAAGAAAACGTTATTCCAGTGTGGAAAAAGGCAACAATTAGTGTGTTGATTTTCATTTCAAAAACATGTTCAACACGAATGCAAATGGAAAAGGAAGCGTTATGCCAGTGTGGAACAAGGCAAAAATAAGTGTGTTCCAGGATGTATATTTGTAATGGCTCTTTTTTTTATCAAAGTTATAAAGTTGGTCGTTTGAGCAACAGGTAAAGATCTGTGGCCCAATCAGAGGCTCACTTCTTCCCACAGCTTGGCCCCATCAGTTAACCCAATATACTATAAAAGACCGCGGCCCGGCCGGGCCCAGCCCAGTTCAGATAAAAAATCACACACGCTGCACTGGCTACTTGTCATTGCAAAAAATTCGAGGTGTGTGCGGTGCGAGTGTGTGGGTTGCCAGTGTATCTGTGTGAGAGTGTGTGTTGTCGACCAAAAAAAAAAAAAAAATCGTCGCCTGACCCATGCGAATGCAATCTCAGCTGTTGGAATTGCAATTGCATTTTGTATCTTGTAAATGTCATTGCGCCTGGCAGCGCGGCCATTGCCCAACTCCCAACTCCCAACTGCCAACTCTCCGAACTGCCAACAGAAATTCGCGACTCACTCGCATTAAATAACATTACGTACACTCCTTTTGTTTGCAATACATATATTTAAATTGCAGAGAAAAAGATGCGAGCCATCTAATGGCTCAAAACAAATGGCAAAGTTCAAACGAGGTTAACAGCATTTCAAGCCGCGGCCGCAAGGAGGCGCTCCTGGCCGAGTCCCAGGTCCGAGTCGGGGGCCACCAAAATGGATGCAACTGCAGCCAAAGCCAAAGCAAACAAAGGCCAACAAACAAACAAAATCAACGAATAAGCCAAACGAAAAAAATAGCCAAGAATGATGTAGCAGACCAGAAGATACCCTGTAGACAGTTACTGTATATTTAAGGGGTATGCAATATAAGAATTGTTCTAAATGATATACGTGAACCTACAAGCCACATTTGATGTCCGTAGTTCTTATAAATTCCTAGTTATACCAAGGCTTTTGATCGATATTTATCGATAACAGAAAAGTGAGTTTAGTTAGTTAGATTAGAATGATGCAGCAGACCAGAAGATACCCTGTAGACAGTTGAAGTATATTTTCGAGGTATGCAAAGTTAGATATGTTTAAGATGTTTTTATATTATACGAGAACCTACTAGCCAAAGTTGATGTATGTAGTTCTTCTGACTTTCGAGTTATGCTTGAGAAACCAAGGCTTCTAATCGATATTTATCGATAACAGAAAAGTGAGTTGTTAGTTAGATTAGAATGATGCGGCAGACCAGAAGATACACTGTAGAAAGTTGACGTATATTTTCGGGGTATGCAAAATACAAAAATTTTCAAGTTTTTATGCTTGAGAACCCAAGGCTTCTAAGCGATATTTATCGATAACAGAAAAGTGAGGTTAGTTATTAACAATTTTAAATGAAATTGTTCTGCTTTTTCAATAGAAGAACTTAGGTATCAAATTTGCTGACGCTAACTTGTTTAGTTTCTGGGAATGATTGGGCATGGCTCGATAGGGTAGACTCAATCTGAAGGATCAGGCATCTGCAGCATGCTGCATACATTTGAGGAACTGCATATACCCCACAACTTCCACACACTTTCAATGGTTGCAGGGTATACGAAAAAAGGCCCAAAAGCATCTTAAACGACAGGCAGTGGTAACATGACCATAGCAAGATAGTCAGAGCTTCAACTTCAGGCTGCAGCTTCAATAAAACGACATGCGCACAAATCTGTGGACGTCTGCCGATGTGGAGGCACATATAAAAACCTTTCTAACGATCGTTTACCTCTCGCAAAATGTAACAAAGGAGTCGGGCCAAAACTTGCCTAGCCGGGCCAAAGCCGGGCCAAAGCCTGGCCAAAGCCTGGCCAAAGCCTGGCCTGGCCTGGCTAGTTGATGCGGGCCAAGCCTAGGCCAAGCGCCCACTTCCTACTTGCTGCTCTTCGTGCTGCCAACCGCTGCAGGCTCTGCTGCTGCCCACAAAACTTAGAAGCCATACTCACACACACACGCACACACTCACACAGATATACTAACTTGGCCAACTCGGGCCAGGGCAAGATTTTGATTTTGTGCTGCTGCTGCTTTGGCTGCTGCACAGCCGTAGTTGGAGCATAGCAGCTGCCGCTTTAGTTGGCCATAATGTGCTGGCCATTTGCCCCTTTGCATACGCCACTGAGTCCAACTGAGTCCAACCGACCGCTCACCTACCCGAAAAAAAAAAAACGAAAAAAAAAAAACGGCAACCGAAAACGAAGTTCAGGCGAACGGGGGAAAATATATAAAAGAAAAGAGTAATAACCAGTTTTGTCTCCCAAAAAAGCCAAACAAATGAAGTCAAGCTGAGGTAAAAACAAGAAAAACTAAAATTCTGCGAGTGACGCCGAAACTTGAATACACTAACAGACAAATGTGCGATAATTTGTAGATCTACTTAAACTTTGTCCATTTGACGATGCGGGGCTTTTATATTTACCCTAACTGTCCTGTTATAGCCGATATTGATGGCCGATTCTTGGCAAAACTAATAAAACATTTTAAAAATATATTTATGTTGATCTTAAGAAGAAAATTTTTAAATGATTCAACAGTTATATGATAAAGTAGCTCGAAGTGGATGTGTTTCTCCTAAAAGATATATTTAAGATCATGGAAAATGGTGAACATTTAAAATTTATTTGACTTTTTCAAGACAACTAGAAGAATTAAAAATGCGGATTAAAAAAATTATGGCAGCAATAAAATATAGTAATTCCATGATGTAAAGCAAGAAATATAATAAATATCATTATAGAATAATAATAATAAATATCATTATAGAAGAATTATAATAAATATCATTATAGAAGAATTATAATAGAAATCATAAAATTTAGTCATAATATTTAAGATAAACTCCAATATTGTCCCAAATTTTCTATGGTAGCTATATGTCTTTCTGCTGCGATCCACACGAATTCGTTATATATTTCAGCTGCAACAAAAAGAAGTGTATATGCCAACTTCTATGAATATAGCTCCAAAATGGACCGAGTTCCTACAGTTAGGTAGATAGTTGGCCACAGCTTTATTCCTGCCTGAAACAAGCTGCTCATACTAGCCAAAATCAAGCTAAATATTGACCCAAACATTTGGCTTACTTTAACTTAAGACGTCACATTTTTCTTGAGTAAAGTTAAGTACCCTAGGTTAGGGCATAGAAAGAACGTAGCTCATGTTTACGAGTAGAAGCAAAACCAAACTTCAGGC